AAAAAAAAAGTTGAAATAAATACCATAAAATATGCTGCTTTCCATCCCCCTTCCACACAGTGTCTTAATTTATCCTCTCTTCTTCCACCACCACCAATCTTTTTTGGTAATCAAAACAAGGGAAGTATTTATTTCCAACAACAAATAAACACTAAATGCAAAAGTAACAAAAAATCTTCATAAACAACCTTCAAATTTTGTTGAGGCGAGAAAAAAAAAATAGTCCTCGAAATGAAGCAATCTTCATTTCTAAGTCAAGAGCATCAAGTGTGACGCATGAAAAAGTAATCTTTTGATCTGTAACTCAAACTGTCCTGAACAAAAAAAAAATACTGAAGAATGCAAGCAAGCAAAAAATACAAAGCTTAACCCCGCTGCAGTATTCTGTTAAATGTAAAGTCAGGCGATGCTAGAAGGTTAATTCAAAACTAAGCAGGCATATATATAATAATTTGAACTTAAGTTAATCCCTTCTTCTGTCTATTCCGTCGATCGTCATTTTGCTCTTCTTCTCCTACGGGAAAGAAAAAAAAAAGTAATATTCATTTGCAGTACCGTAAAACGGTATTGCACATAATAAACATCACAAACAGAATATGAAAACATTGACCCCGGATATATCTCAAAGTTTTTATCCAGACAAAAAAAGCTGTTCCGGAGACTGAGAAGCACATCGAAGTGAACAAGAAAAAATTGAACAACAACATCTCAACAGCACGCATATGCCGTGGTGCAATTCTTGCAAAATACTGAAATCACAAAAATAAACTTGGTAACATGGCATTTGGCAATTTTCTCGGCTACGACTAAATTAACAACAATTTAAAGAACAAAAAAAAAAAAGGAGAACGAGAAGGATGTAAAAGAAGAAAAGTTTTTCAAACGGCATCAACGATGAGTCATATATGCATTTTAATTGAATTTATGCTCTTTCTGACTAATGCACACAGAGCTGTTATATGGAAGCATTGTTACGTAGCCTCTATTTTTACCACCCCCATGTCCTTTCTTCTCTCCTTAAATATCAGCTCTTGGAAGAAGGCTTACAAGCATAAATAGCATAAAAAGCAACGAAGAAGAAGAAAAAAAAAGAAATATGCCAACAACAATAAATGGATAAACAAAAATTGTTTTTTTTTTCACAATCCGGATATTTTATCATCATTCGACGTCATACATCGACGCTGCAGCATTTTCTTTGATAAAATCATCACCAATGCTACGCAAAAAGCGGATGAGTTGAAGGGTGGGGGGAGGAGGGGAGAAAAAATGAAAAGAAAATGAATTTTTTTTTCTTCTTTTCAGAACTGCAAATCAATAAATTCGAAGACTAACGTAGTCATCAACAGATTGGAAAAGACGGCAAAAAAACCTACGCATACACATACAGATTTAACAACCACAATAACTGCCTACTGTTCGATTTTCTGATAACACTAACTAACTGTGACCCATGAAGTTGAAAAAAAAAATTTAATAAAAACTGATGAATGAACACTGCCAATGACAAATATGCTTCATGTTGTTAACGGCTCTCCTGCTA